CAGACAACCTCTCGTCAATATGCGTTTTTTGCATTGCATTGCTGCAAAAAACGCATAAAAAAGAAATCAAGGGCTTGAGCACTGAAACTCATGGTATGAATTTTAATGACGATAATGTCAGCAGACAAAAGAGAGTAACCTTCTGGACCAAGCAGGAGCATTTTGCAGGGCAGCCTGTTCAGTTGAAATCATTTTTTCCTAAAAACTGAAACTGAAAAAGAGCGACAAAATAAAAAAAAGTTCTTCCACGAGTTGAAAGGTCTCAGAGAACAAATTTTGAGGAACGGGACGCAGCTAATGTATACCAAATTCATAGTGTTTCTGCAGGAGGGCCAGTTCGAATGAGCTTATTTTTACGATTTATTTGATCATTGGGTTTTGTAAGACTACGGAAATTTTGAACATTTTTTCGGTTGGACGATTTTCTTTGACTATAAAAGGTCTTTGTAGCAAACGGCAAATTGCCGACTGCTACGCGGCGAACAACCAGTTCCAAACGTCCGTTTTCTCAGCATACATTTCGAACGGTTTTTTTTTCTTGGTTGGAGCTCGTCAGAATGACCCATTGTGAGTGGAACTGACGAACAACTCATTCTGACAGTTGAAAATTTTTGTGCTCTCGTCAGCGTCAAGGTCAGAAATTGAGCAGCAGTGTTCTGAAAAAAGAAATATGTTCCTTTGTGTCAGATTTGCTGTCGAGGGAAGAGATTCTTTTTTTTTTTCGAGAAAGAAAATGACCGTTTTTACAAGGATTTTTAGAAAATTTCCGGATGAAACAAAGTTTTCAGGAATGAGCGACACCGGCTGTTACAATTTTCATTAAAAGAAAGATCATCATTTTTCAGGAAAAAGGGATGATCTATTTAAGAGGATAATTAGGAAATATTCCGTAAAACTCGGGGCGAAAATAGTTTTTGTGATTTAGGACCTTATTTGTTAAAAATTTTCTTTATAGGAAGGGTCCTTTTTTTCCGGAAAAAACAAATATCCTTTTTTAAGAGAATTTCTCAAAAATTTTTAAGTAAAATATAGATTTCCTGAGTAGGTCACAGTATTGTTACAAATTTCTTCTCAGCAAATATCCTTTTCCTTCCCTGAAGAAAAAATTCAATTTTCTGGGTAGATTTTAGAGAATTTTCCCGAAAATTCTGGATGAAGCGTAGCGTTTGTATTTGTGGCATTATTTGTTAAAAATTCCCTCTGGAGGAAGGATTCCTTCTTGCAAAAGCAGATTTGCACTCTTGGAGGATCTTTAGAAAAATGTCCTAGGCTCTGGATGAAACTACAGTTTCCATGAATGAGCGATACTAATATTTGTTACAAATTTCCACTGGGAGAAAGATCTCTTTTTTTCGTAGGGGAGTGAAAATATTAATATATTTTTCAAGCAAATTTTTTAAAAATTTCCTCCAAAAACTCCTTAAGTTTCTTACTAAAAACTCAGGAGACAAGGGCCGAGCCTCACTTTATTTCCCAGGACCATTTCGATGATAGACCACCTGTAACTAATGACAGGGCTAGGAGCGCCGAAAAAGATAATTAACACTTACATGTTTTACGGGGACTGGGTCACTGACCGCATAATCAGCGATGTTGCCCAGCCACTGTAATTATCAGCACCTCCTAAACCGGCGCACTGTTGCGCAGTGACCCTTCTGAGCATTTTCGGCATTAGTTGCTTGGATAGTCCCTGTTAAATAGTAAAACTTCTTGGAGGTCTAAATTTTTCCAGATCCACAAAAGCTGGAAAAACGGATTTTGATCCCGAAAATAAAACTGGGAAGAAGCGCGTGTTGCCCAGAAATTTTTCGTTTCCTTCATAAGATTCATTAAACATGACAGTGAGGTATGGCAGTAAAAATTTTTCGAAAATGGGGTAAGGTAAGGAAAATTTTTCGAACATGAGATAAGGTAGGGGGGAATTTTCGAAAAAAATCAAAATCTTTATTTGCTAGCAAACGATTCGTTTAGATAAAGTAGGGGAAATTTTTCGAACATGAGATAAGGTAGGGGGAAATTTTCAAAAAAAATCAAAATCTTTATTTGCTAGCAAACGATTCGTTTCTCTGTACAGAAGAAAAGGCAAAAAAAGAACGGGTTAAAATACCCGGACACATATTCACTTACCTACACACACGCACCATGGGTTGTCACAATATGCATTTTTGCGTTTGCTTACAGTAAAAAAACAAATAAAAATGTGTTGAGAAAGCAATTAGTGTGAGTGTCCCGTGTTAGTGATATTACTGAGAGATAGAGGAGAGAGGGAAATATAGGCTGAAAAGAACTATTTTAAAATTTTCCAGGAACTGGGACTTGTACAGAAAAATCCGTCTAAGTAGCGACGAAGCATTTAAGTGAGGAAACGATTTTTTTAAATTTTAAAAAGCTAAATTTGGCTCCCATATCGTTTAATGACAATTCGGGTGGAACTCCGACTCAATGGCTTACATATACCGGAACAGGCAGTGGGTACTGACCGATACTATGTAAGTTAAGACTCAAGGATTTCTCACAAGTACACATGTAGGAATATCCCAGTAACATCACTAACATCGAACCCCCATACGACTGACCCAGCGGGCTTTGTGACTTGATTCCTAAGGTCAGTGACAAAGACTGGTCGCTGTTTAATATGCTTAAGGTCAGCTTTTTTAAATTTCAACACTTCTGTAGTTGATAAGTGATGACTTTTCAGTGAGTGCCATATGGTTTCGGGTCAGTGAGTGCCATATGGTTTGCCTGGAATATTGCCTAATAAATTAAAATGAACGGGCATTGTAACGATATGAATGATAGAATTGGAGGTCTGGGAGATTTTCGAAGCCTTTCAATTAGCATGTGAAGGTTTCAGGATAAAGCCTGGATTTATAACAGACATAGCTTATCCAGCAATATTCCCATGGTTAAGCAATAGCATTCAATGCAAGCTTATGTTTGCTTAATTATGCATAAATTAGTTTATGCGCAAGACGCCTGTGCTCTTAGGTAGTAATAATTTTGCTTGGGACTATCGGAACATATGGGGCCCTGAGCATAACAGGTTAAGGATTTCTAGATAAGAGTCTCTGGATGACATGCAAAGTTTCTGGATAAAATACGTAGGATTATTTTCGAAAGCAGTTGAAACTATAGATCTTCATAAAATCGTATATGGTCATTGCAGCACTACTTTTTTTATCGAAGCTTTTATTTTAATTCTTCGAGTACTAATTTAATTCTTCGAGCGCTTAATTTAAATATCGATTTCTGTTTTCGTTTTGTTTTTATCAAATATATTATCATAATCTTGGCGCTATTAATCAAATTCCTGAGAAATATTTTTGCTTCCTTTATATGTGTTTGCTTTGGTACTTTGAACACAGGTTGGTTTCCAGCTGCGCAGCTGACAGCTCTTCCAGCTACTTTGACCAGTGCTGGATCGTCTGGTGGCCAGCCTACTGGCAATCCGGGCGTTCGTTTTGCCTCCTGGAAGGATTACTTCAATACATTTGGGAGATTGAAATTTAGAATGATTTGGGTAACCTAGTCCAATACAAAATAAGGTAGCATTTTTGAGTTACGAACTTGCTATCGTTCTCGAGGATTGGTCAGGGGCAGTGCCGTATGAAGGGAGAGAGCGAGGAGGAACGCGAATTGTGGGAAATTTTCATGGCACTCCAGTTTCCTAATTTCATTTAGCGTAGCCATCCACAGACTTGCATACAAGTCCAGTAATTTAGCATGCATGGAGTGGGAAAGGAACCCATATACATACACACTCATGCAGACGTACAGCTTTGAGGGGATGATTCAGACTAATTAAATCCACAACCGTGTTTCCTGTTCTTAATGATGTCTAGAGGAACACCATGAATAGAGCCACTAAATGAGGGGAAACTTGAGCGAAGGATATTTAAATTTATGTAGATTTCCTCGTCCGCAATTTTGCCAGCGTGTGGTTGCTATTGGCATTTGCTACTCTCAGAGATATTCTGAGTGCCTCGAGCTCACACTGAGGTCGATTACACAGAAGTAGAAAGGGGAAGGTTGACGAAGGTCGGGAAAGAGAGAAGGCTAAGAGGACGGAATGTGTTTTTTTTTTTATTTTAAAATATAAAGTGAATTT